TTCTATTTTATACATTTGTACAACAAATACAATACATCATGGGGCTTTGGCATTCTCTTAAGAGGTTTTATATATATCATTTATTCATTTAAATGCTTATTTTTCAGCCCGTTTGATGTTAAGAACCCATATTTATCCAAAATTTTAGTTAATCGTGAGCTGCACAAATCTGGTGATCGTTCTTGTATGCATATTGAATTTGATATTGATGGATCAAAGATGAGGTATGATACAGGAGATCATGTTGCCGTCTATCCAAAAAATTCTTCTGAATTAGTAGAAAAAATTGGAAAATTATTAAATGCAGATCTAGATACTGTATTTTCATTAGTGAACACTGATGGTAATAATTTTATAAATTAAAAAATAATATGTTTAACATAAATTTATAATAACTTATTTTTTTTTGCAGAAGAATCCAGTAAAAAACATCCATTCCCTTGCCCTTGTACTTATCGGACAGCTTTAACTTATTATTTGGATATAACTTCAAATCCACGAACACATATTATGAAAGAATTAATAGAATATGCAAGTGATCCAAAGGTTTGTTTTTGTTTTAATAACCATTAATTTATCTTTTATGAAATTTTATGTTTGWTTTGTTCTAGGATCAAGAAAAATTAAAGCTTATGGCAAGCTCAACCCCAGAGGGCAAAAAAGAATTCCACGAATGGATTTTGCGTGACAACCGTAATATTGTTCATATTTTGGAAGATTTACCAAGTGTCAAACCTGATTTAGACCATTTATGTGAACTACTTCCACGATTACAGTGTCGCTACTATTCAATATCCTCGTCACCAAAAGTGTATCCAAAATCTATTCATATTACAGCAGTTCTAGTAGACTATATTACTCCTACTAATCGTGTTAATAAAGGTGTTGCAACTAATTTATTAGCTCAATTAAAACCAACTACCGATGAACTTCCACAACCTACTATACCTATTTACATTAGACGATCTCAATTCAGGTAAATATTTTATGCAGTTTAAATAAAAATAATAAAATGTGTATTAAATAAGTTAACATTTAAAAGAAAGAAAGAAAAATTTTCAATTTTAAAATTGTTTAAAAGTAATGTGTTTGCTTAGTCCTTGATACAATTTCTGTTTATAGATTACCTCCTAAAAGTCAAACTCCAATTATAATGATTGGTCCTGGTACAGGACTAGCCCCATTCCGAGGTTTTATTCAAGAAAGAGATTATGCACGTAAAGAAGGTTTGTTATTAATATTTTTAACACTATTTTCTTTAAATAAATGAAATAAAGATATTTTATATTCTTAGCAAAGTGATGAATGTATTGATTTTACAATGATGTTTGTGTGTGTGTGTGTGTTTTTTTTTGTGTCTGTGTATACGATAAGTTGTCAAAATARTGCTTCGATTWTCAACTTCAGTAGCTTTTTCGGTGGGAAAATGAACCTAGTTGGTGCATTTGGGAGGTCAAATTTCAAGTAATTTTCAAAAAGCATTGGGAAACACCAAAAAAAAAAAAATTATGGATAAGCGGGAATTTTTACGCAAAATCAATTTTTGAGAAAATCGATTTTAGATGTTGGTGTAACTCTAAAATAAATTACCTTAAACACATAACATTTTCACTGAAAGTTTATATTTGAATATTCTATACTTTTTAAAATTTTCAAAATAGTTAAAATCTTTTTATAGATATTTAAAATTTTCAATCTTTTTAGTTTTTTTTTTTTTTTAAATGACAATAAAATTTTATTAGTTGGGTGAAAAAGCTT